CACCAATATTCCATTGTTTTGCACAATAGTTACGCACTTTGTATCATTATTCCATTATTTTGCACTATATTTACGCCACTATTCTACCGCTTCGCACTATAGTTACGCACTTTGCACCTTTATTTCACATCTTTGATTATTATTATTATTATTATTCAATTAACGTTTCTTTCCTATTTAGTTTAAATAAAACTCTTTGAAGTGATATATAACTTGATGGGTTAAATTTATATTTTACTCGTGTATTTACCGTAAGTGGAGCCAAGTAAAAATAATGCATCCCAACCTGCAACTCTATCTTAAATCATTCCCTTTATGTAATGTCCTTTATATTCTGTGGTAGCTGGTTCCCTATCTTGGGGCCAGTGTTTTAAATGGAATGTTGGCTTGCATTACTACGGTACTTTGGAATGAATAAATTTCCCTTAGTTTGAAATCCAGTTTTGAATACATGCTGAAAAAGTTGTGATATAGAATTAGGAAACTGTCCATGAAGGTTATCAAAGACGGAAAGGACTAATAGGAACTGGTGTTATTTTTATATGTCAAGTATATTATAGCAATTAAAGAATGGGAAAGTATGTGAAAATGGAGGTGAACCAGAAATAGTACGGAGAATTCGTTTTTGAAATATGTGTATTTGGATGTAAATGAGTTTACACATTATATGAAATATGTGGCTTAATAAATGAATTATACAATAATAATTAAGTTAACCTTTCATAATTTTTTCTCAATTTATATATGATACCTGCTTTGACACTTATTTTGCTCAATATGTTTTTCCCTGCACCGCATATTAGTACAAGTCTGATGTTACACTATTCACACTAACATGTTGTTCCCTGGTAGGCCTCGAATCCCATAACCAGATAATAATAAGTAAAATTGAGTGATTCACGATGTAGACCTTTCTAAGATCTAAACAAATACATTCTATATTCCCTTTATCAATTCCATCCAATACATTTTGTGCTAGAAAAGACTATGACTCTAATATAATATTCAGGGAATAATAATACATACTCTGGGAACACTCTGATTGATCGGTTGCCTAATAAATGTCACAAAACATTTTGGTCTATCATTAGTGCAGATCTTATGTTCGTCGCTTCAATAAATTATCTTTCTCTTTCTTGTTAATTCCTTGTTGCCTGCCTGCGTGCGTCTCCTGTGTAGCAACTAGAAAACAATTTACATAACCCTCTCTTTGAATCTTTGCTCGGTCATGGGTGATATAGTTAACAATGAGTAAAGTCGATGCGTTAATCCTCGACCTGAATAATGTTTTAGCACATACAGGAGAATCGAAAGACATGAAATTATTATGCAAATTAGTCACGTGTCCATATGATAATTTAATAATTATTAAGTTATTTTCACAGTAAATTTTGCAAATGAACCACCGTTCGTTATAGTCCGGTTTAAAACCAAACCGATGTGTCACTGATACAGCTGTAATCTGTGTTTGACCTTTTGTCTATAAGCAAGCTGCTGTGTAATGTGGAAGACATAGAAAATTTGTGCCAAGCTTGAAATCTGTACCTATCTTTTTCTCGAGGTATATTGCAGAAATACATACATACAGTATGATACTTCTTTCAATGGTCAAACTAATTTCAATTTGCCAAAACGAATGAACAAGAATCGATGGACAAATACTATAACGACGTCTTCCCTTTGTTATTACAAGGCCTTGAACGTGTATTGAAGGAAAACGATGGTGGCGATGGATACTATGTTGGAGATAAGGTACGGGGATTGTTTCTCAAATCGAATGTAATCCGTAATCAATCTCGGCCATCGCATTAGGATCGGAAATTAACAAAATAAAATATTTCGAAACGTTATATCGATTATTTGTGATTCATATTTGGTTGCCGTTTTCCTCAGACCTTCTACTGGTTCCCTAATGCATCCATGCAACAAAATACATGTTAAACCACGGGTCCGGATATATAGGAGGAAAGATGGCCGCCAGTTTTTAGTATGCAAATGAAACATCGCTTAGGGGTGCTCCGCAAAATCACTCTTTCCGACAATCTTAACGCATGGGGTGCTTTATTTTCATGTCTTACACAAAAATGAATATATCCGCGATTCAACTTTGATGTTAATTCACAAGTTCGGAGCGATGTCAGTGTGATTTCAGCGTAAAAGATACGGGAAAGCATGACTCAGACAGTCGTTTTGACAGCTCGAAGTGATATCATGAAGCATAGACCCTCTAATAAATTTATTAGTTGACTGAGCTCTAACAGAAGGTCTATATGCATTGAGCTAATAAAAATTGATAAGCTGTTTGTCCTGTCACTACAGGGGCGTCGTCGGCGCTTCACAAAGTGATCCGTCCCGAGCGAGTGCGTTTGGCACGAGCTGAGGTGTGCACGAAAACGGAGGGGCTGTACGTAAACATTCCATAACTTTTTTGGTGTATGTGACGTTCGCGGTTACAGGGTTGTAAGCTTGCTTGTTTATCATTTTTT